TATTATTATTATTATAATAATAATAATTTTAATAAAAAGCTCATTTCAATAATTGCTGCTGATGAATTGTGTATATTTGCCTTCAGCGTTATCTTGAGCAGTTAACGCAGTATGAGAATACACGTGAAGCGTGTACATGTATAAAAGTGTTCCTCTCTCGTTCGTATTTTAAAAATAAATTTTCGAAATATGATAATATTATACATCGTCATTTTCAATATAAAATGTTAATTCAAAGAACTAGAAAGGATACGGGCAGTAAGAGTCAAGCGCAGAAAACGTTGCACAAATAATATATCTATGAAGTGTGAAACTTCTTTGTTAACTAAAACGCGCTTACATGTCTCGGCTCACTTTTGAGCCCTTCTCAGAGACAACACAAACTAACATACATAATTGTGAATCAAAATTATCCTGTCATGGTGAGTTCCTCTACCTCGAGAATTTAAATGCTAGAATTAAACTCAAAAAGAGCGAAAAAAAAAGAAAAAAAAAGAATGAAAAAATGAAAATAATGGAAATATCGAAATAGAAAATATGAAAAACTAATTTATCAAAAATTTTAAGATTACAATTAAATATCCCGAAAATAAGGTAGCTCACTCTGATCACAAATCACAAACTATATCGCAAACATGCGCGACGTCTTCTGCGCTTGACTCCTACTGCCCGTATCCTTTTCAGTTCTTTGATTTATAAGGAGTTTTGATTAGTTTGATTTGTAAAATGTTAATTTTTGTTCTTATATTAATTAAAAAAAGTTTTTTTAATTAAAAGTGACGGGTGGGGATGTACTAAAATAATATTAAAAAAAAAATTCAAATACTATTGCAAAGCTTGTTTGAAATCATAAAAGTTTTATTTAAAATATTTTTTTATATTTCTTGCACGGTTTAGATGATATTTACTTTAGAAGACAAAAAATCGATTTTTTTAAAAGAATAGTTTTACGTCCTTAACGTGTGATTAGTACTTATATATATAGTATTTATAAAAAAAGCCATGACTCTTAATTTGACTGTATTTTGACATATTCAAAGCTTGTTAAGGGAATGCTAGCGTAATGGCAATTATCACAAATTACAATATTGCAACCAAAATCTTCGAACTGACGTTACGGATTAAAAAATTTTTTTACAGAATTAAAATACGCTCAAGTATGTAGATAATCCGGATATGTCAATTTCACCGAAAAATCGCACAAAAAAAATTTGTTTTTGCTCTTATACTAAAATTAAAGTTTGCTTGATGTAAAAGTTTTATAGTTTATGTGAGTAGTATAAGTATTCAGCGGACCTCGGATTACTTAAACAAACAATACTAATCCATACAGCAAAGCGTACCTCAGCAAAATCTGTGATTGTTTATGATGCCGGCAACTTGCCGTAGATTTGTCTTCAATGATTTCAAATATACTGACATTGTAGCAACACCTTAGAACATACATACTGGAAAGGCTATAGGTGACTGTCGATGATGATCTGTCCTTGTTCGAATGCTTCACCGTATTGCGCCGATTATTATTATGTAGTGTTTAAGAGTGTTGTATTATCCCTGCTCTCGCCTTAAAACATACACATGTATTATACATTCAAAATTCACATATAAATCATGTGCAAGCGCACAGCAAACAAGCTTTTAGACAAGGACAGATGTTCGAAACACTTTTATTACATTAGTCAGATATGGCCTTTCATGTATGTATGTTCTAAGAGCAACACGCTGGCAACAATATATATTGTCAGCAGTTGTTAACGGCAAGATAGCTGCATCAATATCACCTTGCATTGTCGGCAATATGATAGCATTGTGTAATTTTACATATTATTATGACAATATGATGGCAATAGTACAAATTTTGATTATGGTGATTTTAAAATTGTCTGCAAATTGCTGGCAAGAATCACTACTTAAAGTTATCATGTCGTGAAAACATCAAATTGCCAATAAAAGCGGATACAGTTACTACAATTCTGGCAACGACACAATACTTAGCAATGCATATGCCAGCAACAAAACACGTGTTATCGGGAGTTTGTAAAACTAAGATTAAAAGTCTAGAAAAAATATATTTTACATTGAACGTAATTGTAGTGTATATGTATGCTTAGCGAAGAAATTCAGAATAGTAAACAGAGCAGTAATTGTGTTTAGCAGTAGGTGCTCGATCTTACAAAAGATGATGCTGTAATATGTTAGATAAAGATAGATGTATGCGTTTGAGTGAGATAATGTAAGAAATGAATTAAAGAAAGAAGGGGGAAGAAAGGGAGGGGGGGGGAGATAAAGAGAGATCGTTATTATCGACATTTTTATATACTTGGTATTAAAAAAGTCCGTTCTATCGATGATCAATTTAGCCGTTGCGCTAGCATTCCTTTAAAATCGGTGGGTGATTATATAAGTTGATTATGTAAATTGTGTTTCCTTGTTATAGCTTAAGTTGCTGCGCGTGTAAGAAGTGTGTGAACATTCAGTTACAATCTAATCTAACCTAACTCTGACAAAACGCTTTATCTTATATTGAATATTTCTATTGATGCTTCATCTAAAATGGTATACATTTGTTTTTCTGTAACAGCATTTTACTATTCGATTATTACAAAGTGACATCTATGGTATTTTTCCGAGAAATTGAGTTTTTACAGATTTTTTTGAAATTTGGATATTATGTTTAAAATAATTTTATCTATATATCATATGGTTAAAATTTCAAAAATCCTAGCGGTACCGAAATGAAGATTTACCTTCAAAATTTCAGCTTTTAAAACGTAAACTTCTGTACCAAGCCTTGCCAAAGTAACGTTTTAATATTTTGCGGCGAAAATCTTCTACAGATTTAAAAAAAATAAATACCTATGTAATGTAAAAATAAGGAACCTTATAAAAAAAATTTGGGGAAGTCTAGCGGTGCCGTTTCTGAATTATAGTAGTTTTAATTTGTAATTTGATGGAATTCTTCTTCTCGCACGCTGAGCGGCGAGACAACAGGTCTGTTCGTGTTGCTTAAACTGTTTTACACTTTTTATACTTAAAATAGAGATGGATATATATGTGACGCCGAAAAGAGAGAAAGCGAAGATACTGAGTGTAAAACTGTAATCAAGGCGAACAGACCTAATGACATGTTGTTGCCACATTTGTCTTCAATGCGGACTAGGTTCATGCATACAGATACGACATTCATGTGTGTGTGTGTGTGTATGCTCGCTTCAAAAGTTGCTCTCTTCAGAGAGCACGCGCGGAGAAGCATATTCGTAGGTTGTACGCGATTAACTTTCTATCGCGATTGTAGCCAGCGAAATATCTTAAAAAATATAATCTTTATCAAGAACATCTCTAATTGCACACTTTATTCGGGATGTTCTTAGGATGTTCAAAGGACATACGAACATCCTCTTAATCTTTTAAGGAGGTCCCTTGGAGGTTTGTGTTGTTAGGGTATATTACACATTTATCACTGTTTTTTATTTTTACGTTTTCATTAACTTAATATGCAGTTTGTCGTATGAACAACTTACATGATGATATGTATCAATTTACTTCTCACTCGAAGCAAGATGGCTACAATACATGTTTGTATTTCATTTATTACAAAGAAATTATACAGTATTATATAGTAAACAATCGTTTCT